GTGGAACAGACTAAGCAGCGCCAATCACGTACAGTAACCATGCAGCGAAGACGTAGTTGTCTTGGCCAGATAACAAACTCTCTGCAGGAGCCATATCCAGCTCATGGTCTTTAAAATAACTTATCTTTCTTGAAGCTATGTTTCAAAAGTAAAATTTAAGAGAATCACAGAAGAATCTTTTTTCTTCCCATGATAATCAGAAGGCATGATTCCATCCTTTACGTCAGGAGATATGTTAATGTATGTATCCTGAAGTGATCCAGCTGTAGGACTTAACTTTTAGTGTAATTGGTAGCTGTTGATATTGATGGATGAGCCATGAATTCTTTGCCCTGCTTCACCTCTCCATTTTTCTGCAGTCCGCTAAAACTAAAAAGCTTCTCTGATTAAACTGAGACTGTTCTCCACTGAATGGGCTGTAATCTACCAGGACAAACAGGTTTTAATACGATTTCAGTAAATAATTTTTGAAATTCTAATTCACTGTTATTGTAGGGTTATAGCATTGCTTTCAGAGTTATCCAATTTAATCTTTTCTACTGATTTCTTGTTTCCAGTGGATCCTGGCACACCTTTCCTCCCTTGACTCCGTCCAGTTTGTTTCCATCACCCTCTTCACCTCATTCAGAGCTTGTTAACCAGTCCTATTGTCTTTGCTTTCCTTCACCGTTACTATCTCTCAGTAGATGTCATTTTGCCCAGCTGGTCCACAGTCTTCTGTCAATTTTCAGGTCTGGCTATTGCCATCTTGCGTGTAGATCAGAATCTTCCTTCCTTCCTGTGTTCACATTTCCAGTGCTGGAAATCATTGAGTACATGAAAGGAACTTTCTTCTGCCCTGAATTTGAAGTGTTTTGTCTTAGAGATGTCCTGAGCCATAGCAGTCCACTTCTGGGATCTTGGTGAAAGTCCTTCTCAGTTCGTGAGCTGGAGCATGTCCGCAGCATGCAGTATCTGCAGCAAAATTACATGGTGCAATCTTAGTCTCTGATGAATATGTGGTAGCTGCAGTCTTTTAGCCTGATTTCCTAAACAAATTAGATGTGTGCAACTTTGCAGTGACTGTCTCTGCTGCTGTCCTGCATTTTCCAGTAATGTTTGAACCAGTTGGCTAGCTTCAATCCAATCTGAAAGGGGTAGAGATCTCAGATTATCAGATTCCTACAAATGTTATGTACAGACTGGGTAGGGTGAGATCCTAATAGTACTTCCACTCTGGGACAGTTCAGAGTTCGCTGCAGAATTCATATGTAAGGACAAGAGGAAGGCTTTAGGGAAGCAGGTTAGCTGGCTTAAGAGTTATTTTTTATGATCATTTTACACTGCGGTTTTGGGAGATTCTGTCGTCTAAGTGAATAGTAACCAGCAAAGTAGAAAACTCAGGAGGGTAGAGAACTGAAACAGCTTCTGATCCATTTCCTTCCATGCAGGAGATATAGAAGTATTCTGGGAATCGGGGAGCAGACAGTAGGCACAGTAGGCAGGAGGAAGTGCAAAAGGCATTTGGAGGAGGGTACCTTCCATCCATCCCATAACACAAGGTTCTGTGACATGAAGTTCATAAGCCAGATGTAAATTATAAGGAATTTCTTTACAGCTTGCCAGGGCTGAGAATCAGCCTGTGGTCTTCAGTGCAAGATTTGTATGCATCTCCACTGGTAGCTAATGGTGCTGGAGCAGCTGGCTGAGAGCCACATTCCGTCTGGTCGGTCACATCCTCTTCCCCAGTTTTGTGTCCTGCTCTGGTGGATCAAGGTCAGCTGAGAGTGGGTTTGAAGATATATTTGAGAGGATGGCAGGAAGCGATGGAGGGTTAGGGGATGCTGAAGTAGGCATGAAGAATTGCAGGAATCAGAGGGGAAGAAGCAGGTGGGGATTACATATACAGCTTCTAGCTGAAGCTTGGTATACCTGGTGAGTCTTTATTGGCCTGCATGGTCATTTGAGCTGTAAACCCCTGTTTGGTCCTTGGTCAATGTACAGATTTACTGTAAAGGATTAGTAAAACAGATTTCTGAACTCGTGAGACTGATCTACAGGCTACACAACATCAAAGAATTTGGATTATTTATGTCCTGCCTTGATGGATGACTCATGCCAAGAATCACAGTAGTAATGGTTTGCACTGCTATTATTAACCCTCAGGTGCTTTCCAAATACCTTTAATTTATAGAAGAAAACCAATCTGTGAGGGCTGACCTCTCTGTTCAGTACGACTTGACTGAGCATAGTGGGTTTGCATCAGTATTACTGAAAGGAGAAGCTTCAGAATCATCATGTTTAGGACATAGCTTGCCCAGCGTTTATCACTCTGCTCTAAAGGAGAGACATCTGATGGTCAAACATGCGGTGCTGTGCAGCTCCAGCTGTTACCTGTGGCTATGTCTTTAGTTAGAAGATTATCACAACTATTGCAGAACCACTTGGACAAAATACAGTGACTCTGTTCAGAAGCAGAAACTATGTTGGGACAGTGTAAGGCTGCACTGCATACTCTCTACCTGTGGCCAAATGCAGTCATATTACTAAAACCTGAAAACAGTAGAGCGCTGGAAGACTCGGAACATATCACAGAATTGAACTTCGTTCTCTGAAGCAAACACAGGGTTAGGTTATGCAGTACTTACTCACGTAAGAGATACCACTGAAGTCAGTCCTACTGAATCCCACTGATCTAGTAAAATAAAAGCTATGGGGATAATGGCACAGTTTGATATATTTATTCAGTTATTATTTTTAAATCAGGCCTTTTCCATAGAAAGGAGGGACATAAGTAAAAACAGATGTTGAAACACTGCTACAAGCAGCCTCCAAGAAAACCCAGCCCCCAGCCTAATCCCTGCTGTTACATTTTCCCACCACTCAGAAGGCAAGTCTCATGGACAAAGTGCTGTCTGTGATCTTATTTTATGCTTTCTAGTATGTACTGGATTTATAAGGAACAACTTTTTTTGTATTCTTGTTGTGGTATCAGGGAACATTTATATCTGAAGTGGGTAACAGAAGAACTGGTTTAATAGTAGCTCTGAGAGAATTTTGTGTGGTAACTCTGTTCTTTCTGTAAAGACAGAAATTTTCCTTTCCCATTACCACGTCAAATGCAACTTTTACGTCTTACCTACCGTGTTCAAAAACCACTTTGTAGTTGCTGATCTATACCCTCCGCCTCTTTTTTGTCTGATGCTTTGTGTGTGTATAGCTTTATTAGCTGTCTTTCATTTTTGCCTCGACTTTTTGATGGCCTCTTTGATGCTACCACTCAAGCTGCTGACTTCCCTGGGGCTAAAATTTCTTCCTCTCTTAAACTATGCTGTTTTCTTCCCTAGTCTTCACCTTAAAATTGACATCTTCAGGTGCTTCTCAATAGCTTTCTTTTGCACCATTCGTTTCTTTAACTCCTTCTCTGTCTCTTTTTGTGCACTTCTGGGCTCTTTAAAGAGACTTGAAATCTCTGTGTGGCAAATAATTCATATCCATGTCTGTCGGTATATACTGATGTTTGTGAAAGTAGTGTGGTAAATATAACTTTTCTATAAAAATAGATCTGAGCCATGTCTATTTATTAGGTGTAAGTGGTTAACTGGCTTATTCAACATAACTCTTAACCGTCATGCTAATATGTCTGGTCAGTTATTTGTTCATTCATTCCTGTGTGTTGATGTGTTTTGCTAATGGTGTTACATAATTATGTTCACCTTGCTGTCCATAAATAGTTGAACTTTTCATGGCACGTGGTCCCTGATAAGGAACCAGGTGTACTGCAAATGAACTACTAGTTCTTAGAGTGAATTTTTGACTTCTAGCTTTGATGTAATTATTCAAGACCATAAATAACTGAGATAATAATAAATACCTAGCCTGATTAATGAAAGTAATAAGGGTAGCCATGCTCTGCAGAACTGGAATGCTATTGATTCTTTGGCTAAGGATTAGCATCTTGCCTCAGTTTGAGTTGAAATGTGATCTGAAAATAAAAGCCTCAGGAGAGAATTTTAAAAATCCATTCTGCATAGTTCAGGTAGAATGATGACACCTATGGAGTATATTTAACTATCCGTTTTTATTCCAAGTTTAGTACATTTGTCTGTGCAAGAGAGAAGCAAGTGCCCTGGATATGGATGAGACTTCACGATAGTATGCATCTGTATATATTAGCTAGCTTTCTATGTGAAAAGCAAAAACATTAATACTTGTAATATTTCTTTGGAAAGGCCAAAGCTGTGTCTCGTGTCTGACAGGCTGCCTACTGCAACCTTATGATCCAATGTACATTCAATAGGAAACTTTACCAAGTGTTCTTTCAAGTGAGCTGTAGCATGGCTTTGGTGTTTTGAGAACGTGATCCAACTTCTGCAGCTACAGTGGCCCAACCCAAGCTTTGGAAGTCCCTAGAGGCTAACACTGATTTGGTGGTAACAGTTTTTGACTCTGTGGTAGGATAAGCAGAAGGCAGAGTGTATTTCTGTGCATAGCATGAGCAGAAAATAAATCATTGTTTTCGATGGCAGTACTCACTGTCCAAATGGATTAGATGGAAGCATTTCTTGAACTAGACGAGCTCTGGTCTGCAGGCTGTGGGTTAGACTTCATTTTGCTTTGAAGCCGTGATTGTGATGTCCAGAGTTGCTGCCGTTTTCATTGCGCCAAAGAGCCTTGATGATGGTTTTCTGTCAGATTTATGCTATGTGCTGTAAAAACTTGGTAGGGAGGGGGAATAGCAGGAAATTCATGTAGTCCTATTATAAAATAACAGATGTCAGGCAGGAAAGCACAACTAAACACTACTGCTCCATGTCAGTGCTGTCCTTGGCATACCAGCATCTGGAGGAGGATCTAACAAGTGAATGCCAGACACTTAACATTGTGCCTGATAAAGACAAACATAATGGAAATCCTTGTCCACATGGAGTTATAAAAGCTGAATGATCAAGTAATGCTGAGTGTTTCTTGGGAGGCATATTATTCATGGACTGCTGCTTTCTCTCTTTTGGTCTTTCCAGGTGTTCCAGGACCTTGGCACTTCTGTGCTGTTGGGTGCGTTTAGAGGATACAACATCTGCCTCTTTGCATATGGACAGACAGGTTCAGGAAAAACTTACACCATGATGGGAACACCTGTGAGTTACTATTTAGCGTTCAGTGACGGGTTTAGCAGATACAATGTTTACTTTATTTTTTAAAATCTAGACTATGATACTAGTTGAGCAGAATGCTTGTATATGTTTTACTTGAGGTGTGTATGGGCGGGTGTGGTGTGTATGAATATGTAAAATAAGAGGCTAGCTTTTATGCCTAGGCATCAACTCAGAAACCCAGAAAAAATGGCATAGTTTAAATGTTTCTTTGAGATAACTTTCATCTTGCTGTGTATGAATCTTGTTGCTATGCTAGAAGACAAAAAGTATTCAGGACATACTCCTGAATGCTTCTAGTTTTTAGAAGCATATAGCTCAAGATAGTACCGTCTATTCCTTCTTATGTAATTTTTGGCAGTCTGAGCCATGCTGAAATTAAGTTATTTTCACAAATGAAAACGGATACAATTCACAGGTATATTTTTGTAACATTATCTACTTGAGACATTTATTGGTGGCAGAGGCTACCCTTTGCCTTGTGGGAACTATATTTGCTTTACTTCCAGTTTTGAAATTAATTTGAATGGTGTTTGTAGAAGCTGCTGCATTTTAAGCTGCTTGGCTACCAGGAACTACTTAGAGTGCGTTTTAGTATTGGTACTCAGATCCACGGAGAGAGTTAAGGATTCCTGTGCTCTGCTGCAACAGGAGGCGATCTGATCTTTATCTATGATTATTCTTGGTTATTGGTGTAATGTGAGTTGCCCCTAAATGAGAGAAATTTTATTTAACAATTTGTATGAGTGGGCCTCTATCTCCTACCCCTGAGAGGTTTCAATTTAAAACGTGAAACAGCTTGCTCCGGTCCTAAAGAGAAGAAAAAGGCTGGTCTGGCCTGGTTTGTGTTCTGGACAACAGTTTGGATCTTTATTTTATTTTATTTTTTTCCCTCCAATGACATCAATGATAGGATTTTGTCAAATCAGGGCCTGGGTTCTCTGTTCATATTGTTTTAAGTCAAGATTAACTCCATGAAAGAGTTGTAAAACTGAAAAATTATAAAAATCAGGGTTAATGAAAAACAAACTTGATTATTTTCGTTGCATTATTTTGAAAGTATCTTAGCAATTTATAATGGCCACATCTTGAAATTATCATTTTTCCTTTCCAAGGAAATTTCCAGGTAGTAGTTTTTCTAAGAGATTTCTGGATTATAAAGTGATTTCTTTTTCCATAAGAATCCTGTTATGATCTCATTTTCAATAACATGTATTTGCTGGGAAATGGTGTTTGTAATTGGGAAGAATCAAGCGTTTGGTCTGCACTGAACTCTTGTCTGCAGTAGTATATTCAGTTGGAGAATCTGAACCTTTTTTTTTTTTTCCTTTCCTCCTCTCCCTTCCTATTTTTAAAAGTACCTTCTAAAAGTCTTTCATGCTGTTCAGCAAGGGGTTTCCACCTGAGCCTGAAAGTATTTCTAAGGGTGCATGGGCACTGCAGTCACTGAAGTGTGAGCAAGCGTGCCACAAGAACAGTTCACTACAGCAGGACTTCAGTGCTGCACAGACTGTGTGGGCAAAGCTCAAGTTAGCTAGTTGAGGTACGACTAGTGGTGCAACCAGGCAGCATGAGTTCTGCAGCCCATATCCTCTTCTGGCTGAGAAACTGTACAGAAGACAAAGCTATTCGAAGCTCTGTGATAAAGCTGAGCATAAAGAAATAGAAGTAGAATAAGGAAAAATAAAATACTAGTAATTGGTCAAACTTATGTCAGTGCTGGCCTAGCTGCATCTACACTGAACTGCCGCACCTCTGGTGTAGACGTGCCTCATGCCTTTACATCAATCAGCTCTCTGTTTAGCCCATGAAGCCTCTCTACTTCTCATTAATGCTGTATAATTTGCTTTAAAATGACTTTTTGCTGTAAATAGGGTTTTACTGGGGCCAAGATGGCTGATATTACACAGCACGCTAGTCCCTGTAGTGTTTCAAAGTGCAAGATGCTTCAGCTGTGCATTGCCATGCTGTATTCCAAACTGCACTCGAGAGTGATTTGCCTTGTGCTCCTCTATACGGTCATTACTTTGATGTTGCAGCATGAATCTGCGCTTTCCTCATAACTTGATTTTTATTTAATAAATGAGTTTTGCAAGAGCAAAAGCAAATATATTAATTTTTTTATTATTGTTATTTATAGGCGTCGATCGGATTGACACCTCGTATATGTGAGGTACTTATTTTTTTATTCCACTTGTGTTTGTTTAAGCTATTAGGTTTTCTTGTTGGATTTAAAATTCATAAAAACTTTTGACTCATGCAGGGTCTCTTTTCAAGGAAGGATGATTACTCAGACCAGACAGCATCTTGCAGAGTAAAGGTCAGGTAAGAGTGTCACCGTTTTGGTCAATGGTATGAATGTTTTCAAAAATATGTCTCTATAATCAAACAAAGCAAAGACTCTCTTTTTGTTTATGTTTTCTCATGCGTTGATCATTTTGGGGCAAGGGAGAGAACAGTGGAGGAAGGATGAGAAAGTGCTGATGTTACTTTTGAGTGTTGTCTGTTCACTTCTGTATAGACAGCTGAAATAGGAGTGCTTTAAGAATTTACTTCCTGTTTGTCTAACTCTTACATTAAGCCATAATTCCTAAGTTCCATTCTTATTCATAGTTCCCTTATTCATTCTCTTATTCCTAGTGCCTGGTGAAACAGTGTGTGTGGAAATTTGGGGATTTAGACTTACTAGCTTTAGAAAAAGCTAATTTCATGAGTTTTTAAATGAAACAGTGAATATCTCCTGCTGCTTGGAAATTAACTTATCAATTCTTTCTATGTGCACTGCATGGGAAGGGGCAGTAACAGAGGTAATGAAGATAAATGTATTAACGGAAAAATCATGAAAAATCAATGAAAGATTCATGTAGTTACATTGTATGAAGAGCAATTATATGTGCTTTCTTTTCTTTTCACTTTTTTCTTTTCAGTTTTCTTGAAATCTATAACGAGCGTGTTCGAGATTTGTTAAAACAATCAGACCACAAGAAACCTTACACTCTTCGAGTTCGAGAACACCCTGAAACAGGACCATATGTACAAGGTGAGAGAGAATTTCATTATTAGTATAAGAATTTCAAGTAAATGTGTGTCAGGGCTCTACATATCTTGACATATGTTCCTGGCATGATCTTAATCATTTCGACTGTTGCAAGCATTGAGTAGTCAATTTACAATACGTAGTCTGAAGAGCTCTGAACCTTCTCAAAAAAATAGATGGCTTCCCAGCCCATTCATTATTTTCCATTTCATACTGGTCAGCTCACATGTTGAACTCTACTGGCGTCTCGTGCTCTAACCAGGGCTGAGCAAAGTGGTAAGATGTCAGACCAGGAGTTACTGGTGTGGGGATAAGAATAGGAGTATGACTACTGCAATGTTCTCAGGAAGGAGTGAATCTTATTGGCGTGCACTAACTGATTGGATACGTGGGTACTTTGGCTGCTGTAAGAGACAAAAGAATTGCATAAGGCATGAACTGAAGGCTTGCAGGAAACGATAAGAAAAATGGGACTGAGGATGGGACCATGGCTGTAAATTGAACAGAAGGTTAATTTATTTACCCAGTGAGTCACCAGACATGGCAAAATGTTGAGCAGTTTTGATGCCCAGGAATGTTGATTTCTAGTTATAGTTTAGCTAAAGGAGAAATTAAAGCACTCTTGAGTCTCGAATATGAGTACTGGTGCTGCTTTCTAGAGAATTTTTAGCTCCATGTTGTTTCTGAGAGGTCAGGCTTCTGATATCCAGGCCATTAAATCCTGTGGTGTGATATGGAAGTGAAACTTGCACAGTTATTGAGAAGTCAGAAAGGCACATAACCTTCAGAAGTAGATTACTAAGATGAATTTTGGGCCACTGTGGGAATATATAGGGAAGAAAATGTCAAACGGGCTTTAGAAAATCTTTGAAGAACCCAGAACAGTAAATATAGTGGCATTCCGACCATGTAAATGTGCAAGACAGGTGACAAGCTAACAAATGCTCTTGAAAAACCATGTATGTGGTCTTGCCAAGCCAGGATGCTAGGAAACTCCCAGTGACTGATTCAATTAAACAGTAGCTGAAATTAACTTAACCGAGACCTTTACAGTCAGCATGAATAAGCCTATGAACCCTTACCCTCCTCAAATATTTTGCTTGTTAATGTGAACATGTATAATATAGTGAAGGCTTTGCCACTGTCTGTTATCCCGCTGGCTGGATATCCCACTCTGTTCTCTTTGCCCTCCCAGGAGTAAGTGGTGTATGTGTGCCACAGTGTTTTGCTTTCTTTTCTTTTAAAGAAATCTAACCTGATCAAGAGATGCATTGACATCCCCTCTAACAGGTTCTGTAGACTCTGTTTCAGTCCATTTCAAGCAGCAGTATATTCATAAAATAGCAGCAGTATATTCATAAAATAATAATAATGAAAAAAATAGATAAACGCAATTGTTTAATGTTCCACACTGGGCCGTGAGAAATCATTAAAATCTATATTACCCAAATTAGAGGCCAGTAAACTTCACTTTCCTTCATTAAACCGCAGAAGACCCAGGATGGGTAAAGCTGGAATTTTAATACAATTTTTAAAAATCCCACTCTTAATTCACGCTTGCAACAGCAGCCCTTTGTGTGGCTTTGTCTTTTCTAGGAAATCAGCTTTCACGTCAGGTAGCAGAGGAGAATAGATGAAAAAAATGTGTATTTTTTCCATTTCAATTATCTTTCTTGGTTTTAGTTCTTATCTTCTCTCTTGTTGTTTTTGTACTTGTAGTTCATTTCCACTTTTGACTGGTGCACTTACTTCAGGGTCTTGCGTAGTTTTAAACTGGAGTTTGGCCATTGTTGCTTTGTAGACTGATTAGGGCCTAATGTAAAGTTTTCGTGCTACACTGGAGTGTATCTGACCAACGACGTGCCTCAAAATCAGTGCACTAAATCACAGAGAGTAGCTTTATAGTGGGGATTGGAAGGAAGACCCTTTTCCAAAATAATGCAAGCTTCAAAAATTAGTGAGTTTGTTTAGAAAGCACATGCATACACTTCCTTTTCAGTATGGCTTGTCTCTCTAGTGGGCAGAATTCCAAATTTGTCTCTGGAATCGCTGATTCCGAAAGTGCTTGGCTGGCCACCAAGTGGCTAGTATAACACCTGGGAAGGACACATTTAATATGCAAAATGCCTACCACACAAAATTTTATTAGTCCTGTTAGATCAAATACTGATTTGTTCTGGCTTTTAAACATAGAGTTCTGGTCATTTTGTAAATTCCCATTGTTCTCCCTCATTCGCTTTCTCCCTGTATTTTTCTTTATCGTGACATTACCTAGGCTTCTTATTCAGCGAATAAGAAGTGGAAATTAAGTTAATTTTTTATGTCTGAATTTATATAAGAACCCTAAACAGTTAGATTTCTTAGGCACACAAGTTAAAATAACAGCAGTAACGTATCACCTTTTGTACAAGAACCTCAGGATGCGTTATCCACTTTTCATTAAGCCTTATCACAACGTTGTAAAACAGGCTAATGTTATCCGTGCTTTAGAGATTAAGCAGAGACGTGACAACAGATAGGATGAGTTGACCAAGTGAGTCAGTGATGGAGTGAAGCCTGGCATTCCCAGTCCTCGTTCCCGGGACACCTGCAGTATCAGGAACAGTGCGTCTAAGGACTGCTGGTTGTTACCAGTTCTTCATTTAAAATAAGCAATCGGGAAGTGTTTCACATGTACGCTCCCATACACAAGGGGCTGTCTGGCATTCTGGTTCTTTCAGCTGTGCTTTCCCAGCACATCAGCATCCTGTTTAACGGAGAGTTGGAAAATAGATGAATTAATGGTCTCATTAGTATGGCAAACTTATCATTCTTTGAAGAGTAGATGCATAGACATTTGGCCGTTATTGAGGTCTTTCCAGGATTCTTTTTCTACCTGCTTGTTATCTGAGAACTTCGTTGTTGGTGGGGAACAGATACTAATTATTTTCTTTTAGCAGCTGCTCATTCACCACACAAGAAAAGGTCTTTAAACTGCTTCCTTCCTTGGCAGTTTCCATCCCTTTTCTCAAGCCTATATCTGCAATGATTCCTTGGCTGCATATAATGAAGTTTCCGTGTTTTAAAAGAAAATAAAGTTATAGCTGGGCCTCAGAGGTCTGCCAGTGGGCTGGCTTGCCTTTTGTCACTAGTCTGTCTTCATCTGGAAACTTGTAGGCTAATTCTGTCACTTCTGCTTTTCCAGTTCTGAATTTTTTTTAATTCAATTTTACCCCTTTTGAGTAAGAATTTTATACTCAGATGCAAGTAAAAATTTGAATTAGAACAATTTAATGTTAGAGTTCTGAAATATCTCTTAAGACTTCCCTCTTGATGAGGTTTTGTAATTTTTTAATATGAGAGGAAAGTACAAAAACATGTTAACTTAAATAATATTTGCTGGTTTTGGACACGTTATTAAAACCAGTGTGAATGCTTTGTTTTAGAAGATTCTCTCTGTGTCTTATGGCAGGCTCCAAAAATCTGTGTGTTAATAGCTGTAAGAAAAAAAATTTTTTTTAATGACAAACATGATTCACATTTTTAGAAAAACTAATCTCATGCATGAAAAACAAAGTGATTTGTCTGTTGAAGGCATCATGGGTATTACTAAATGCTGCTGTGAGAGCATGTGAACAGAAGTGCCTTGAGGCTGGTGAGTCAGTGGCTAGGGGCAGCAGTCAGATGACATAGTTCCTTCTTTTAGATACATATATATAAATATATGTTAATAAATAAGTGTATATGTACAGTTTATGCAATTAAGAACGGTAACAGTTTTACTTGAGCCAATCTTTGCATCTTTTGGGAGAGGGATTAATAAAGAAGATCGGTTACCCAGTTCCCTGTGGAACTGCAGCTCCTTGCTTCACACCACAAATGAGCAGCAGTGAGAGAGGCTGGAGGTATTTTGCATGCGGGTGAGGAGTACGGTTAGCTTGGTTTTAATAACATGCAGTTCAAAAAAATTGAGTGGTCCACAGCACTGGTACAAAATGCCCATGTCAACTGCAGTAATATATAGCAATTGCTAGTCTTTGTAATGAGGGCTGTCTACACGCTGAAGTCTTTGGCAGTTTTATATGCAGTCCCACTATGCAAGATCACAGTGAAGAATCTTGTTACTAATAGCTAGATGGCAGAGATCAGACTTATCCACAAAGTTACTAGAAGGGCAGCTTATCTTGCCTTCCCCTTCCAGACAGTGTGCTGTATGGGAAGAATTTAAATGGTGAGCATCAGGCAAAGCTCAGACACTTTCCATCATTTCCCTGAGATCCGATCTGTTAGGGACTAGCACCTGTGTTTGCCATTTGCAGCAAAGGCTTGCAGGCTCCTACTGATGAGGAGCTCCCCCCTTGGACTGCTGGTATGTAGTTGGTGTCAGTGATATCCAGAGCACTGTTCTTGGATAAAGAACAGAGAGGAAAAATGAGAATTTAACCCCTTTAAGGATGCCCTGTTATTAGGGGGCAATGCATTTTCCATTTGCAAGTCCAGTCAGGAACTCCCAGCTCCCAACACTAAGTATTTTGAATAGTTTCCAGCCCATCATTTTTTCCACGTAAAGGCTGTGAGATTGTAGCCTTTAAAATGCTAAAAGTGTTTCAGTCCTTTGTGTTGGAATTGTTTCAAGCCTCTCCCTCACAGATGGTTGCACTGTTAAGGAATCAGCCGCTCTTAAATCAGGAAATGATGCAATCTATTTTGTTCCTCTGAGACAGATTTCTGGGGGAGATTCTGTCTTACTCCAAGGCAGATTTCTAGATGAGCAAGAGTTTTTGATCTTTCGATAGTACTTGAAAATGACAAATAAATCACATTTTTCAGTATTCTGAGCTCTTATCCACAGTGTTGTGGTCTACAGTGAAACAAAACAAAACCCAAATCAGTGCAGTAGTGAAGTGAAAAAAATGAATAGCCCTGGAGTCCAACTCTCAGATTAAAACGTTTAGGAAGGGACTGCTTTACTCGGGTGCATTGCATGATAAGGTTATGCTTCACAACTCGGGGTTTATTTTTAGGAATCTCTGCAGTGCAAATGATAAGTTATCACCACAAAATGCAAAGGAGACATATTAAACTGGATTTATGTGAAATAAAACGCATTGAAGTTAATTTTGTCTCTACTGGAACTTGCATTTTGTAAGCTGCTGGCAATGCGATTACAGCACAGCAGTGCTGCCCTCCACTGGGGCTGCGTTAGTCACAACCACCATTCTGCTACCGTAGGCTCTGCAATGCAGTACTTCTCTCATTTGTTTTCAGTTGGCTTTTTCCTAAAAAATGAAATGAATTAAAACAAAAATCCTGAAAGCAGGAGTCATAAAAAGGCCATGTGTTTCATGTTGTGATTTAGATACCCTCTGGGGAGAATAGAGAGCATCAGGACTCTAAGTGTTAGAGGCTCAATGCTATTTAAAATTAAGGACGTGCTAAATATTTTACACAGAGGATGGTTCCTAATTCGGTGAGTCTTGTGAGCAGAACCACTATCCAGAGACAACAGCTAAAAGCTCCTATACGGGATATGTACTCAATTAATAGTGATGACATGACTGCATCTCCATGAGGAATTTTCAGCTATACCATTTTTAAAATATCATTGTTCCATTGCTGAGTTGGAAAAAGACCCATACTTTCAAGGTGCAAGGCGTTTTTATATTAATGTCACTGCATCTGAAGGATGGACTGCAATGTTGTGTTTTGTTTTATTTTGACTAAAATAGTTACACTAATTTAGAGACTACCTGTAGAACAGGCAGGCATCCCAGCAGAATGTCTTTATGCTCCAGATGTAAGGTAAATTGTTATTATGATCCCCAATGATAAATGAAATGAAGTGAAGTGAATGAAACTTTCTGAAAAAATGTGTGTTTAACTCTTTTTAAATGTTTGGCAGGATTGTCTCAACATTTAGTTACAGACTACAAGCAAGTTGTAGAACTCCTGGAGAAAGGAATAGCTAAAAGGTATTTAAAAAGAAATGAGCCCTGTCTTTATTTAACACTTTTTTTCCTCCCCATTTGGATTCCATTGATGTCTGTTTTTTACCGACAGCACTGCTGATGCTTTGTGATAGGATGTCAGGTTTTATGATCGTTGCCTGAAAGATGCTATATATCTTCATATTACCCATAATCATAGCTACAAGGGCTCACAAAGTTGTTGTTTAACATATTTCTTCAAAACTGATCCCTTGCTGACTTACCCACAAAATTCTGCCATCTGTCCGGGATAAAAAAGGCATGCCAGCAAAATGTTTTTGCCATAAACAGTTTGGCTTTTTTTCTTCCGCTTGCTCATGGCACTTTAGACTGTATAGCTTTCAACTCGCTGATAATATGTTTTTGTTTAATTTTTATGTAAGTATTTTAAATTTTTACATCAAATCATGTACATGGTTGCTGCGAGAGAACTGTGGGACCTGGCATACCAGTGAAATCGATGACCTGAGCTCGTGTTAGTCAAGTGGTTTTTTTCCTCTTTCTGTAGGCAGCCTTGGATACCACACAACTGCCATTAGAGTGATGGAAGAAGAGTATGATTTCAAAAGCAGAATCCTCCAAATACAAATTACAGTTCTAAGACAGATATTAGCTCTTATGATAAGAGAGGTTGACATGTTAGCATATCAGTGATGTTGTCAAGTAAAGAAAAACTAAGCTATATTATGACAAAGACGGAATAGGCAGCAGGATTAATTTTTGCTACTTATGCCTGTACTAATCAGTAGGTATAACTCTGTGATAAAAAGATTGTTTTTCAGAATGGTAACAAAATTCCAGTTAGTCTACTAGTGTAATCCTGCCATGGTCTCATTGCTGCAGAAGCAGAAGATCTAAACAAAATCACTGGTTTGGTATATTGGCTGAAATTACAAACTTTGTTGTTTGCCTGAAACCAGGGCAACTTCCCCTCTTTCTGGGTAACTTTTCAAAAACTTATTTGGAATATACAGAGAGCGCCTATTTACCAGCCGTCTCTATTTTTATAAAATATTTTGCAGAGTATTTATTAGCAGATTATAAACACAATCAAGGCAATGTGAAAGATCGGTAGGCTGGGATATGCTGCCAAGTGAGTATCAGCAGGCTGTGCGTGTGGGGCAGGAGGTGGGCAGCAGGTCGCGACTGCCCCCTGCCCCGGGAGGCACGCACAGCTCCCGTACTGGTAAGGAGCAGAGGTTGTTTCTTCTAACAGTGGTGGGGTTTTTTGTTTGTTTTTTTGGGGGGTGGGGGGGGCGGGCAGGGGATTTGTTGTTTTTAAACCAGGCCCTCTCTAGCAGTCCTCTGGCTACAACTGTCTGTTTTTAAAATAAACAAAATGTTATTTGTGATGTGTACTCATTGTTGTCAGCTGTGTTTTTTCCTTGGCATTTTGCCAGGATCAGGCTCAGCTGCTTACAAATAGAATTTAAAAACAGCATTCAACATTTCCAAGCTTTCCTAAGCTTTTCCAAAAGCATAGCCTTGCTGCTATGTAAAGTAAAGCAAGCAACCAATGTAGATAATAATGTCAGAGCAACTGAAAGTAGGAAAACACGCACCGTATGCCATGAGGAAACAGAACATCTGAAAAACTGACATGAATGTTCTCCCGTAAAAATGCTCATGTGGGATACGAATAGTTGAGATATTGTGAACTTGCCTGCCAGCCCCCCCGTACACTGTGGGAGGTGAGGAACCAGTGCTAGCGCTTCTCCCTTCGCCCCCTTCTGCGAGTCCTGGAGCGCTCTCTGCCCTCTCCCGCTTCACCAACTTGGGTGCTGTTCTTTCATGTCTTCTGCTCGCTGCAGAGCCCTTTGCTCTCTTCTGCCCTTTGCCTGAGTGTTTGTCTTTCCCCTCCAAAACCTGCGGGCTAGCTAGCTTTCTCCTGCTTCCTGGGTTTAGGCTCGTTGGTTGTTGTGGCGCGCTAGGCTGCGCGCAGCCCGGGCAGCGCCGGGTCACGCCGCTGCGGGGAGCGGAGGCAGCGGTGCAGAGCGCCGGCTGCGGCGGGCGCTCAGGCTGCCCGCGCGGAGGTGCCGCCCTCTGCTCTCTCGTGCAGCAGAAAGCAGCATTTCCAAAAGTTTGTGTTGCAGAGACGGTGGCAGAGCGCCAGCACTCCTCCTCCCTCGGCGTTTGGGGCCTGCCAGGAGCACACGCTACACAGCAGTATTTGTGTGGTATAGGTACACTGAGCTGGTCTCATTGAACTGCCCTAGTGGTGCAAAACTGCAGTAAAAGCCTGTGACAGAAATGAAACCAAAAAGTTGTGTGACAGCGGCTGTATTCTCAAAGCTCCACGTTCCTCCATCTTCCTCACCACCCCTGTGCAGTCTTTGCCGTTTGTGCTTTCTCTGAATCCCTGTGTAACTGAGCGATTTGTTCCCCTTTCCAGAATCACAGCGGCTACACACATCCACAACGCCAGCAGCAGATCCCATGCTATCTTCACCATCCACTACACTCAGGTTAGCTAAAAATACTCTAACTTCCTTTTCTATTTACTCTCAGAAATCATTGTTCAATGTGTTGTGTATTGTTTAGTTGCCACTGTTTTGTGTTGCTTGTAGTAATCTCAGCGGGAACTGTTATTTATTTCCTTTGAATCATGCTGCAGGTGTGTTGCGTTTCCTACACTGCCTGCTGTCTTGAGTATTTACTGAAGTATTCGTGTTCCTTTATGCAAGTTTATAGTTAGAAGTGATGCCAAAAACTGGCTGTAAAAAGAAATGCTTAAAGTCTATGCAGCCCTTTCAACTGCAATACTCCTTCTAGGGTGCTGTGAAAACTACACGTGGAAAGGTGTTTGCAGTTATGTTTTGTGACGCTCATTGGGGCTCCTTAGTTTAAGTATAGTATTCCTTTAAGTTTTACCAAAGTTTTGTTTCTGTCCAGCATTTCGGCTGTGCTCATCTCTTTAGCATTTGGCACCCAGCGCTCTCGCAGAGACAATGAAGCCTTTCTGTGGAGGAGCTGTATCCTTCCCTGGCAGGGAAGTGCTTCAGTGATCCAATGGACCTTTTCTATCTCACACTTCTAACATCCTGTAATCACAGAACATTTTGGGATGTTTTTCAGTAGTTTACAAAAGAGCTTTGGAATACATTAGTGGAAAATAACTTTGTAAGATCTACAAGAGAGGCTTTCACAGCCGCCGGGCGGTAAAGTTTTTTTTCAAGAGGAAAAAGGCATAAGAGGGTAGTTTCTGTGGCAGCAGAGAAAGTTGTTGAGTTAACGGTTTGACCATAGTGGCCCGAGATTACAAAGAGAGTGAGTGAGACAGTCAGAAGTATAATCAGTTTCATACAAAAGAAGGCACCTATTTTATTGTCATTAATAAAGTAGGAGGAATAATCTTCCTTATTTATATTTTTGTCTTCAGGCCATATTGGAAAACAATCTCCCCTCTGAAATTGCAAGCAAGATCAACTTAGTGGACCTGGCAGGCAGGTAATAATATACTGAGGGGGTAAAAAGATGAAGTTGTCTGCAAATGCTGGTATTACTGGCTTATAAGTTGGCATTTAACACTTTAAAATTTCATTTAAATAATAGTAAGTCTGATTTTTGTGTATGGTAACTAGGCACATGGAGCTAACATTATATCTGTTATCTGTTCTTCTATATTGGGGATTGGATTTCATTGGAGAAGGGAATTGGTGGCTCCAGTGCTCTGCTGTTGCAGACCTTTATCATAATTCCATTCAAAAACTGCTACCCCCTGCTCTTAGTAAGTGGCTTTTCCAGTAACTAGTCGGAGGAGGTTACCAAATCCGGGCTTGAAAAGAGTAGGCTAAGAGTGTGCTCCTCGTGGCTGCCTAGCCCAGGAGGGAGGAAATTGTTCTAACCCAGAGCTTGCGTTGTTTGTGTTCCAGCAGCTCCTAAGTCCCTGAGCTCAGCTACATGTTTCGGTGAGGAATGTGTGTTTAAGCTGGATGTGGCAGAGAATAAGGCGGATATTGTGCTGAAGAGTTGTGCGACAGTTGCAGAATATGACATTTTTCTTTCTCAAGAATGTAAATTGCTGTGGATAAGTGAGCACAGAAAGTAGTTTTGAAGGGATCAATAGTTTTTGCCATGGAGTCAGTCTACTCTTAGAGAGTTTTGTAATGTAAGCTGTGTTCTTAGTCAGAACCACTGTGATTAGGTTGTCCAATTCAGGCTTGAACTTGTGTTTTGATGGGTCTCCAACAGTAGTTTGTGCCAATGGCCTTGGAGGGTTGTTTGGGCTTTTTGAATCAAAAGAACAATGTTTCAATTAAAGTGTTCAAAGTATATTTGTTTTTAACTGCAGAGCTTGCAGTTTCTGCTTTCTTGTATGTCAAAAAAAAGGAATGATACTTTCATACTGATTAATTATTAAACATTTTTATTTGGTTTGCATTATTTTTCCCATGCTTATGTGCTTCAGTGAAAGAGCTGATCCCAGTTACTGTAAAGATCGAATTACAGAAGGAGCCAATATTAACAAGTCATTGGTTACACTGGGAATTGTCATCTCCACTTTGGGTAAGCATACTAATTCTTTATGTTAAAGGATGTTAATAAAACCATAGGACTCACTCCCCATGTGCTATGTTTTAATCTTTATATTTACAACAAGAAGCTGAGCAGAACAGTTGTCTGGCTTCTTCATAACCTATAATAACATTTAAGAAAATTAAATAGCTCTAGTAGAAAAGGATAACTCCTTTCATGAGCTCTGTCATATTTTTATTTCAGCACAAAATTCACAGATGTTCAGCAGCTGCCAGAGCATAAACACCATAACAAGTGAAGGGGAAAGCAGTCATGCAGGCAGTCCCTCTGCAGGCAGCATCAGTGGGACCAGACGACAGGCTTACATCCCGTACCGTGACTCCATCCTCACCTGGCTGCTGAAGGACAGTCTGGGGGGCAACTCCAAGACCATTATGATTGCTAGTGAGTTTGGTTTCTACTCACTGCTAAATTTTTGCACTGTATTAGCCCTGTAAAATACGTTTTTACTGGGGTGCAAAGTCAGCTATGGCACTTATAAAAATTTTCACATGGTAAGAGTCTAAGTACTTCATAGGATATGCAAGGAGTAATCTTACTGAAAGGAAAAGATGTGCTGATTGTGCATGAAGTTAAGCATAAGAGATGAGTCTTTCCAAGGTTACAGCTTTGGTGTAATGTGATTTATTCACCTATAAATGGAATCTTGAGAAGCCAGTCTCTGTGAGCTTGATGAAATATCCCTAAGGATATTTTTGTTTTTGTTTTTAAAGAAGCCAAACTAAAAAAATCCACCTTTTTGAAAAATGCTATTTTAAAGAGATTGCTTTTTTATAATATTAGTGCTTGTGTTCTCTCTGTAGCTATCTCTCCTGCCAGCTCCAGCTATAATGAGACCATGAGTACCTTAAGATATGCTTCTAATGCCAAAAATATAATTAATAAGCCCAGAGTGAATGAGGTGAGGCTTTGAGCTCTGCTTTTCATTCTTGTTCAGTTCTGTTGGGTGTATTCTTTGACTCTTATTTAGTGTATGCGTACTTTGAATAAAAGTCATACCTCTTTTTCCCATGTTAATCAAAGCTCAGTAGGACCCTGGCTACTACAGAGAAATTTTCTATAATTCACTACAGCTTAAATAATTTAGAATTTCACACCTATTAGACATTCTTCTTCTCTGTCCCTTCAATTTCTATCCTTCTTCTCTTTGAATTGCTGTGACATGCATGTTTACTCTGTATCTTTATCCTAAATATTAGCAGGTTTACAGATCTGTTAGGATCATTTGTTACTATTTAACCTGTTATTGTAAATGCACAACCCTTCCTTTAGACATGTTAAAAGAATGCTGTTAAGGCTGCAAGTCAAGAATGCAAAAGTTAATATGCCAGGATTAAGGTTGCCTGTGTAGTCTCAGTTTGACTTCTTTTCAGTGTGTGCGCGTGCACACACACACGTACACGTGAACATATGAGCTGTGACAGTGTGGTAAATCGGTCTGTTAGATTGCGTAGAGGTCCTACGCACACTGCATAAGTTAAAACATGGCAGGGTGTTAGTTAGATGCTGCGCTGGAGATCTGGATTCTCTCTCTGCCCTGCTGTATAGCATTTTTGTGCAGTGCTAGTTCAGACACTTAAACTTTTAATGTGTACGTGTTCCTCATTTCCAGCCTTTGTTCCACATTCATGGAACAGGAAAAATACGAACATTCCTAATCAAAGATGTACCGTCAAAATAGTTTGATTAGCAGTTGTGGAGTTCTTAGATAGTGTAGTAAGGAGAA